TCTCCAGCCCAACTATTCCTGGAGAGTCTGGAGCGGGGTTTGACCCTGGTCATTAATTAATTAATCGTTAATTAATTCATTAATTCATTCATTCTCCAGCCCAACCATTCCTGGAGAGTCTGGAGCGGGGTTTGACCCTGTTCATTAATTAATTAATCGTTAATTAATTCATTAATTCATTCATTCTCCAGCCCAACCATTTAGGAATCCTGAAATAAATCCTAAAAAATGCTGAAAAATATCCTAAAAAATTAGAAAAAAATCTGGGAAAAATCAGGAAAAAAAAAAGAGAAAAAATCCGAAAAAAAACTGAAAAAATCCCCGAAAAAATTCTAAAAAAATCAGACAAAAATCCTAAAAAAAATCTTAAAAAATCCTAAAAAGTTTGGGAAAAAAAAATCCTATAAAAGTCCCTCCCCTCCCCCCCAAAAAAATCCTAAAAAATCGTTTGAAAATTCTAAAACAATGTGAAAAAAATCCGAAAAAAATCGAAAAAAAAAAAAAAAATCAGAAAAAAATCCTAAAAAAATTCAGAAAAAAATCCTAAAAAATTCCGAAAAAAACCCGAAAAAAATCCTAAAAAAAATCAGAAAAAAATCCTAAAAAAATTCAGAAAAAAATCCTATAAAAATCCTAAAAGAATCCTCAAAAATCCTAAAAAACCTCTTAAAAAACCTCTTAAAAAACCTCTTAAAAAATCCCTAAAAAATCCCTAAAAAATCCTAAAAAAAATCCCTAAAAATGAGAAAAAGATCCTAAAAAATCCTAAAAAAATTCAGAAAAAAACCCTAAGAAAATCCTAAAAACATCTTAAAAGAATCCTAAAAAATCCTTAATAAACTCTTAAAAAAGCCTAAAAAATCCCTAAAAAATCCTAAAATAAATCATAAAAAAATCCGAAAAAATCCGAAAAAAACCCAGAAAAAATCCTAAAAATATCCCCCAAAAAATCCCCAAAAAAGAGAAAAAAAAAATCCTAAAAAATCAGAAAAAATCCCAAAAAAATCCTAAAAAAATTGATCAAAAGATCCTAAAAAATCCTAAAAAAATCCTAAAAAATTACGGAAAAAAATCAGAAAAAATCAGAAAAAAAATCCGAAAAAAATACGAAAAAATCCTGAAAAGCCAGGAAAAAATCCTAAAAAAAACCCTGAAAAAATCCTAAAAAAATCCTAAAAAAAAAAATCAGAAAAAAACCCCAAAAATCTGAAAAAAATGCTAAAAAAATCCCCAAAAAATGAGAAAAAAAATCGTAAAAAATCTGAAAAAAATCCTAAAAAAAAATCCTTAAAAATCCTAAAAAATTCAGAAAAAAATTGTAAAAAATCAGGAAAAAATCCTTAAAAAAATCCTGAAAAAATTCCGAAAAAAATCCGAAAAAATCCTAAAAAAATCCTAAAAACTCCTAAAAAATTCAGAAAAAAATTGTAAAAAATCAGGAAAAAATCCTTAAAAAAAACCCGTAAAAAATCAGGAAAAAAATATGAAAAATCGGGAAAAAAATGCTAAAAAAATCCTTAAAAAATCAGAAAAAAGTCCTAAAAAAATCCTTAAAAAATCAGAAATAAAATCCTAAAAAATCATAAAAAATAATAAAAAATTCTAAAAAAATCGGAAAAAAATCCGAAAAAACCCCGAAAAAACCGCAAAAAAAATCCTAAAAAAATGCTAAAAAAATCCCAAAAAATGAGAAAAAAAATCCTAAAAAAAATCCTAAAAAATCCTAAAAAATCCTAAAAAATTCAGAAAAAAATTGTAAAAAATCAGGAAAAAATCCTTAAAAAAATCCCGAAAAAATCCCAAAAAAATCCTGAAAAATCCTAAAAAATTCAGAAAAAAATTGTAAAAAATCAGTAAAAAATCCGAAAAAGATCCCAAAAAAATCCCGAAAAAATCCTAAAAAATCCTAAAAAATTCAGAAAAAAATCTTAAAAAATCAGGAAAAAAATCCGAAAAAAATCCCGAAAAAATCCTACAAAAATCCAAAAAAAATCCTAAAAAATCCTAAAAAAATCAGGAAAAAATCCGAAAAAAAATCTGAAAAAATTCTGAAAAAAATCCAAAAAAAATCGAAAAAAAATCCCTAAAAATCCCAAAAAATCCCAAAAAATCATGAAAAAATCCCCAAAAAATCCTAACAAAAGTCCTAAAAAATCCTAAAAAAAATCATTAAAAAATCCGAAAAAATCCGAAAAAAACTCGAAAAAAAATCCGAAAAAAATCGAAAAAATTCCGAAAAAAATCCGAAAAAAATCCGAAAAAAATCCGAAAAATTCCCAAAAAATTCCCACAAATCCCCAATAATTTCCGGAACATTCCCTGACCTTGTTGTTGGTGGCAGTGACGTCAGCACCGTGGCTCAGGAGCAGTTTGGCCACGGGGAAGCGTCCCGAGGCCAGCGCGTCGTGCAGGGGGGTGATGCCGTCACAGCCGGG